CACTGGGTGGAAATGGTCGTTTCTTTTTCCGCTCCCAGTCGGAACTAAAGATTAGTGGTTTAGTGATGGTTCTCCACCCTCCTCGACCTCACCGGGGAGGCTCCCGGGGCCGGGAACCTCCCCTGCCTCCATCTGGATCGATCAGGTCAGCCCCCTTTTTCGTCCTTTCCGGCGTCAGTCCGCGTGCTGTTTCGCCGGTTTCGTCGCGCGCTCCGTCGACGGGTTCCGGGGAAATAAACCCCCCCGTGGCAATCTCGTCGCCGTCCGCGACCTCCGGTAGCGGTTCCGTGCGTTCCGCTACCGTCTTTTGCGCGTTTGGCCGGCGGGCTGGCTCCGGGGACATAAAACTCTCCGTGGCAGCCACTTCGCCGTCCATTTCGTCGTCTTTTGGTTCCACGCATGTGGTTACCGATTCTCTCCCGACGGTTGCGGTTTCGCCCGTTTCCGCCGGCGACCCGACGGTTGCGGTTTCGGCCGTTTCCGCCGGCAACGCGACGGTTTCGGTTTCGGCCGTTTCCGCCGTCAATCTGATTCTTGCGGATCCCGGCCTCGGTCGCGATTGGTACGCGGATGTCCTGGGCCCGACCGGCGGCGACCCGGCCGCCGGTCTTGTCCGGGATTCCGCCGCCGACGCTGCCGACGGCCGTCGCTCCGTATTAGTGTCTGTTTCTCTCCCGACGTGTTTGGACTCGTCCATTCTCGCCGGTTTTTGTATTCTTACGGATCCTGGCCGAGGTCGCGCTCGGCGCGTGGGCGTCTTGGACTCGTCCGGCGGCAACCCAGCCGTCGGTCTTGTTCGGGGCGCCGCCGCTGGCGCTGCTGATGGCCAATTCTCCGTATTAGTATCTGTTTCTCTCCCGACGTGTTTGGACTCGTCCATTCTCGCCGGTTTTCGGACTCTTACGAATCCCGGCCGGGGTCGCGTTCGGTACGTGGACGTCCTGGACCCGGCCGGCGGCAACCCAGCCGTCGGCCTTGTCCGGGGCCCCGCCTCCGACGCTTCCTGCGGCCGTTGCTTCATATTAGCTTCCGACTTACCTTTTGTCCAATTTTTATATATGCGGCAAACAGGAATGGAAAGGCGACAATACCGCTTTTCCCATTGCTCCAGGTTCAACTCTAGAACTGTATTCTGGACGGCGTCAACTCCCCCCTCCCCATGGTGGGTTTGTCAGTCGGGTCTGCTGCAATACCAGCCATGGCTCTATTCATTCTTGCATCTATTAATTATATGTTAGAATCCTCTCAATTGAACCTGTCTTCTCCTTCAATTGGCTCTTCGTCTACCTCTTTTTCCGGGTCGAACGTTTCGCTATTGCAGCTTAATATGCAACATAGTAAAGATTCCATGGTCTCCCTTCAGCTACAGCTTAGGGATCAATCATGTGCTGTCGCTCTTGTGCAGGAACCACTCCTTAGTAATAAGGGTGAGTTGGTGCGCACCTGGCGTCATATTGAGGCCTTTTCAGGTGGTGCATGCCCTAGGGCAGCCATCCTCTCTGCAGGTGTTGACCTGTGGTTTTGTCCGCGGTTTTCCAACCGTGATGTCACCACTGTTTTGGGCAGCTTCGGCGATCTCTCCCTCTACATGACTTCAGTTTATCTTGATGGTACTCTGCTTTCTCTTCCAGCTTGTCTGGAGGAGCTTTTGTCCACTAGGGATAAGCCAATCCTTATCTCTTTGGACACTAATGCCCACTCTACTCTTTGGGGTTGCAGTGAGTCTAACGATAGGGGTGAACTCCTTGAAAATTTTATTTTCAAGCATCATCTCCATCTATTGAATAAAGGTTTTACTCCCACCTTTATCACGCGGCGTGCCTCATCTATTATTGACATCACGCTTTGCTCTGAGGAGTTGGCTCCCCTCCTGGCTGACTGGAAGGTCAGTCAGGAGTTCCACTTCTCAGACCATCGCCAAATTTCTTTCACCCTTCCACTGGTTCTTCCAGTGCTTCCCAAAATTTGGTGTTTCAAACGGGCCGACTGGTCCAAGTTTGAGAAGGAACTGGACTCTCTTTCAGAATCCTGGTCCCCCCCCGACTCTTGGTCTCCTAACTCCCTTGAGTCGGAAGCGGGGTTGCTTCACAAGCACCTCTTTGCTGCCCTCGGTAAATCCTGTCCTAAGACTAGGCCGGGGGCACCACGTTCTCAAAAGTACCCTATTTGGTGGACTGAGGACCTTTCCGTTTCCAGGTGCAATGTCAGGCGCCTGGAACGTCGGGCACGTAACTCCTGTTCTGATGCTGATCATGACTTGTTCTGTGAAGCCAGACGTGAGTTCAAACGTGAAATTGCTTCTGCCAAGCGTCACAGCTGGCAGCTTTTCACCTCCGAGGTCGACTCCTCCTCTAGGCTCGCTAAGCTTTCCCGGTCCCTTCTCAAGGACAAGGAGGCTTCCCTGGGCCTGCTATCACACCAACAGGTTGCTGCCAGCTCCCCCACGGAGTCGGTCAGCCTCCTGTTTGATGTGTTGTTTCCTGGTAGCGTGGAGCAGGAGCTTCCCCCTGCTCCTCCACGCCGCCCGGTTCCCTCCCACAGGATCCTTAACTTCTTGTTTACGGACGCTAAGGTCTCAAAGGCTTTCAAATCCTTTGGCCCTTATAAGGCTGCTGGCCCTGATGGCATTAAACCCATCATGCTCCAGCATGTCGGCCCGGTCACCCTCCGCCGGATTGCGGCTTTGTTCACAGCTACGCTGGAACTCAGCTTCATACCTGACCTTTGGACCCAAGCCCGTGCGGTCTTCATTCCTAAGGTCGGGAAAAAGGACTACTCTCAAGTAAAATCCTTCCGGCCCATCTCCCTCACATCCTTCATGCTTAAGGCAATGGAGCGTGTGGTGTTGTGGACCTTTGAAGAATACTTCCTTTCCCGGCACCCCTTTCATGACAGGCAGCACGCCTTTCGCGGTGGGCGTGGCACGGACTCTGCACTTTCTCAGTGCTGTAATTTCATCGAGAAGAGCATTACTCGTAATCAGTACTCTCTTGGAATCTTCTTTGACATTGTTGGCGCCTTCAGCAATGTCAAATTTGACCCACTCCTTCATTCTATGAATGAGCGTGGCATTCCTCGTGTTATCACGAGCTGGTACTCCGCTTACCTCACCCGTCAGCGGGTATCTGCCTCCGTCAAGGGTGTGTCTGTGACACGGCTCTTGACGCGTGGTACTCCTCAGGGGGGCGTACTTTCCCCCTTTGCTTGGAATCTGGTCTTTGACAAGCTTCTGGATTCCCTTAACCAAGGTCCTTTCTTGGGCATTGGTTACGCTGATGACGGTCTACTTCTGTGTTCCGGCATCGACCCGCAGGCTCTTGCTGATCTTGCGGCTCCTGTTCTCCAATCCGCACTGAATTGGGGTGACAGGTTTGGGCTTCAATTCTGCCCGGTCAAGACAGTGGCCATGCTTTTTCACCAAAAGCGAAAGCCACTGCCTTCACCCTCCATCAAAATGGGGGATCAGGTACTTACCTTCGTTCAGCAGACTAAGTATCTTGGCGTCACTTTGACGCCTTCGTTGGAGTGGAAAACCCACATCAATGACAAGATTGCCAAAGCTAAAGGCAAGCTTATTCGCCTCCGCACTGCTATTGGCATTCGTTGGGGTCCAAAGCCTTACCTTATGGACTGGGCTTACAAATGCATTGTGCTGCCTGCGCTCACTTATGCATCTTCTGTGTGGGGTTCTGGTAACCTCGCACCTTTCCGTCCGGCACTGACGAAACTCAATCGTCTGGCCATGACGGGCTTGGGTCCCATGCGGCTTAAAACCCCCACTGCGGGCCTCGAGTTAATCACTAACACTCCTCCTCTCGACCTTCTTATCAAGAAGCTCGGGATGTTGACGTATAATCGTCTTAAACCCATCCTCCCTGTCACTTGGGATGGTTTGGGCGCTCGTCGCAAAATGGGGCACGTCCGCTCTTGGAATGACCTCGTTACTCGCGACAAGATCAGCCTTGGCCCTCCGGACCGCGGCTGTCGTACCTACCACTGGCGGAAGCTGCTCCCTGAGCAACCTTCCGCCAGCTGGAAGGATTCGCTACAAGTTCACTTTGTGGCCTCCAGTCAAGGGGGGAGCGGTTGCCCCTCCTTTGGCTGCAAAATTCTCACCTCCCCGGCTGAGATGTGGAGTGGCTTCCTTGGAGGCGACCCCGCTCAGCCGGCTATCCTGTTCTTGGCTTACGTCATTGGCAGGCTGCTCCAGGCAGGTCATTCAGAGATCTGCCTGGTTCTGGATTCACTTCCAGGTCCTTTGGACGTTACCATCACCAAGGTGAACTCGGTTGGTTCTGTTGCCTCTGCTCTCCAGACCAATCCTGCTGCCCACGTTTTCTGGCGCCGGACAGCAAAGGATGACTTACCTCATCTCACGGACGCCGCAATTGCTTCCTCAAATGCGGTGCTTCGGCTCGAGCTAGAGTCCTGGACGGACCCAGCCGCTAACCGTCGCCAGGCCTGGTCCTGGCTCCGGAAACAATGGACTGCTCGCTGGAGCAAGTCCATTGAGTATCGGCAAACGAAGTACTGGTTCTCTGAACCAGACCGCAATTTGTCTGCTTCGCTCCTTCAAAAGTCAAGGGACGACTTTGGTCTACGGGCTCAATTCCTTACCGGCCATTGCTGGCTTCGCCGCCACTCTCATGTGGTTGGCGAGTCAGACGATCCTACTTGCCGTCTCTGCAAGGTAGGTCCTGAGGAGCCTTTTCACCTCTTCTCTGAGTGCCCCGCCCTCCAATCGGAGCGCACTCTCATCCTCGGTAGTTCCCATACTTCCGGGGAATGGACGCTCAGGCAACTTGACCGTTTCCTGAAGCTTCCCACCATCCGAGATCTTCTCGGCCCCCCACCGGAGGCGGTAGCCTCTGGGGTGGCTGGTGCAGCTTCATCTGCACCCTCCTCCCCTCCCTAGGTCCCCGCCTCCGGTGTTCGGAGCCGGCGCCCCCGCCCTGGGTTCGTCGCCTCCCCTCTCTTGCCTGTACTCAGGCCTTGCCTGTCCTCAGGCCGTTCCCCCCTACCGGGGGGTTTTCTGCCCTTGCTGGTAGTTTGGCCCTTGTGCTCCAATGTGGTCACAGAACTCGTTTAGTGGTGGGGTATGGGCCTTCGGGCCTCCCCCACGCCGTGCCCCTTTGGGGCACGGCAACCACAGAAAAACAAAAAC